TAAGTTGCGATTTACAATTTCGAAATCAGCTAAAACTATTCATTTTAGAGGTAATCACTTGGCACTCTTCTCCTTATTCGAAAGAATTTAAATTCCCCTTTTTTTCATGTCCCTCTTAGCTTGGAAAATTAGAATACAAGGTATTATATAAGTAAATTGCACGTCAGTATGAACATTCAGAGAGCCATTTTTTGCTAAAAGGTCTATTATGGCGCCACCAAAATGGCTAGTACCTCATTGCTAGGTTAGATTGAATTTGTTTATTAGAACTCAATTCAAAAATGCAACTGATGAAATATTTAACTAACTCTAACGACCTCATCATCATCATTTAAGCTTAGATCATCCAACTATGTGTAGGACTAAATGTAGCTTAAAGAATGAATCAAACAATCAACCAATAAGCTCTGATTCCCTCGAGCACGCAATGGACAAAGAGACAATGGGATAAATCCTAAAATTTGGACATCAAACGGGACATCTCATTAAAGAAATTGAAGGCATACAACCTGAATCCGTACATCAAATTTTGGAAGACTTTCTCATAATGCTATTATTATATTTTAATGTCCGGAGTGGGCGGTGCACTTACCTCCTAGTGGTGTACTCTGGGCAATGTATACTCATACGCCAAAAAGTCTATAAACTTGCAGTTGACTTTAAACTACCATGACCCCACTGTATGTCATATTCGACCCCTTTCACAGTATTCACCCTATCTTTTTTCCCCACATTCGTGTCTGTCTCTTTTACATCTATGAATCACTCAACCGTCCCCTCTACCCCCCCCCCTTCCTCAACTTTTTGTGACTTTGATGTGGTCCTCCCCTCAATGAAGCCCAAGCTAATGGTAACTATCATAAAGCCCGCCATTTGATGTACTAATCACATTTTCCATCACCCTTTAACCCATAGTTGATTGCAACACACTTCCTTAAGCTCAGAAGTTTCTAAAGGACTCGAAGCTATGCTACAGCTTGAGATAAAAATAGCATTGCTTAATGAAAGAATTTGTCGAAAATCTGTACATTTTGAGGTGGGAAAATAATTCACTCGAAAAAAAAGAGCTACAATCTACCTTAAATATGGCGTGCTAAATGGGGTGTGACTGGTTTTGGGAAGTTTATGAAACAGCTAGGGTTTTGCCCACTCCAAACAAGGCGTAATTAATCACTCTTTATACGAGACTACTAATATCAGAATAGACACACTACAGCACTGAGAGGACAGACCATAGCCTGACTCATCCATAGGCTTTGAGATGAAGCTGATTTCCCTTGGAGAGCGCTTAGCTTAACGACTACCATTGGCAACCCCAAAAGGAGTCATTTGTGTTGAGTGATCCACACCCGTTTACACCTTCGCAATTAACGGACTTCACAGTGACATAGCAAAATGGAAATTTTTTAATCAAGCAAAGCAACTGGACTCGGTTAACAGATAAAAAGTGACGTCAGGGAATCAAATTTTTAGTTCATTAGATTTTTACATGAGGTTCTAATTAAATGGGTAATTCGCGCCACAAAAGTCAATTTTCCACAATTCACAGCATTTATTCTTTCTAAACAAGAATGATCGGTGCTGCAACTTCCTCAAAATTAACTTCATCTAAATACAAGTAGATAAAAATGAATAATGTTTAACTAAAATAATAGTGGTAACAATTTACTGTTACTTAATCTTAAAGTTAGCGTGTTGGTTAAGATTTGCCAAATTTTAGGGTCGATGCCTTGAATCGTTTCGTTGTAGACTTCGCGTTCACTATTCACGTGTTCGTCCAGAGACTTTGGGCCATTGTGAAGGCTAAGGAGGCAACAACACATACTAATTTTGGTTTCGATTTAATAAAAAATATCTCGTTAAAGATAAATTGACTTAGCCAGGATCTTCGACTCAGGGCATTCAAATTATACCCAACGTTAATCTTGTCCTTCACCTTAGAGCCCCATATCTGACCTAAGCGAGTATAGCGGCCAGTTAAGACCTCACTGAAATACTAAAAACGTCCAAATGGTCTAAAGCCGCTGCTTAAAGAGTCCAACCGATTTGCGTATAGACCTATTCTCTCACAAATATAATGGCCTTCCGAAAGGCTAACACGATGCAATAGTCTTCCTCAAATCAGAAGACTAAGAGTGCAGATGAATAATTGCGCAGCAAAAGGAGAGGAAAAAGTAGGAGAAGTAAGAGTGCTGAATATACCGGCAAAGTTGTGTAGGAACGCGAAATTGCGAAGCAGGGCAAACCACGGTAAAATTAGGAGAGTCGGTTTATAACCCTGCCCCCACCCCTTTAGTTTGTCATCAAGTAGCAATTTGAAGAAAGAGACCCATGATTTGAGGTGTGTGCTCTAGGCCACACACTTATAACCCAGCCTCTGACCAAAATTCTGTGTTCGAACTGATAAATTACTTTAGTGATACTGAATACACCAATTACCAACTGTATATTTCAGCATTAGTCCTTCATCTGATTTAGTGTCAGTTTTCTCAACTTTGAAATTTTAAACCATCATCCACATTTTGCTGTCCGGTAATATTGCCAAAATGACAACATTGCGAACAAATAACAAAGACAGAAGGAAAATAATTTCTATATACGAATAGTGAAGTTGACAAGAAACTAAGCAAAATTTTAAATTGATAGAAGATTTCGAAGTACGACAGCCGCAATTAGTTATGATTAGAAAGTAAACCTGAAAAGAACTCAGTTCCTAACTAATCGAATCGAGATAAAAGTGCTTTTCCCCAAAAAGTACTGGCGGATTAAGCTTAACTAATATTTAAAGCTTTTATGGGTTCACGGGATGGAACATAATTGTAAATAATGGTATGAATAATAAACCTCAAAGCCAAATTCACAATCCCGTTTAAGTGAAGTATTCAACCTAGCCTCAATTAATATTAAACAATTAATTAACATTAATTTAAAGGCATGCAGCCCCTATTCCAAACATGAGCCACAATTCCTTTTTCCCAAGTGGATTGAAGAAAATAGAATTAAAGTGGCATTAAAAGGACATACCATGGTGTAGGGATCATCAATATTCGCATAGAAGAAATCGGTTGTTTGAATGAGCTTCAAGTTATTACGCACGGGAATTACACAACAGTCAAGTTCGGTGGCTGAGAAAAAAAGGGAAAACAATAGAAGTAAGGAAGAATAGGAGCATTTTCAAGCAGCCGAAATATATTTAATGTGACTTCAATAGGAACGATATTATATGAGATATTAGCTACCTGTATGGCTGTTAAAATAAAATAGGGAAGTCTGCCACACAAGAACACCGAGTGATTGCTACACCCAAAAAAATAAGACCATTGACATTCACATGGCTTTATTTAATAAATAAATCCTCCCTTCAGCTATTAATTTGACAGATTATCAATGGAATGTTTGGTTTAGTTTAACATACACTAATGATCTAAATTAAATAGCTAGCTAATAACTAGTGTGTTTAAAATGACCTGTGGGACACGTTATCGCTGTGTGCGTCATCGTAT